TATAGGACTGACTGCCCCTTAGGCTTTCCAAGGCTGTAGGTGTTTACAGAAGCAGACTGCCACATCTGTCTCCCATTGAGTGGCTGATGGGTTCAAACTGCCAACTTTATATCATAAAGGGAGGAAAAGTAAAGTTCTCCACAATGGAAGCCAGTTTGAGAGTAGGGGAGAGTTTGAGGCATTTGTGCTGATTCTTGAAGCAGGAGGGGATTTTGCAGGTGGAAACGCTTGGTGGTAGTCCAGGTGGAGGACAGAGTATGGATAAAGGCATAGAAATTGGAAAAGAAGAGGCCTCCTCAGAAGAAAGCAAGGAAATCACTGTTCTTGGTTGTCATTAAGTCAATTCCAACTCATAGTGACCCTATGCGACAGAGTAGAACTGTGTCATAGGGTTTTCTTGGCTGTAATCTTCATGGGAGCAGATTGCCAGCTCTTTATCCCCTGGAGTTGCTGGGTGGGTTAGAACCACCAGCCTTTCAGTTAGCAGCTGAGTGTTTAACTGTTGTACCACTAGGACTCCTTAAGGAAATCACCATGGCTAAAGGCTAGAGCTTGCAGATAGCTTAGTAGTAGAAGATGAGCTTGGAAATGCAGGAAGGGGCCAGAATGAGAGTATCCTAAAAGCCAGAGTGACAGATTTGGGTTTTATTTAGTTAGCCACAGGGAGCCTTTGATGAGTTTTGAGGCAGATGGTGCCTGGAGGAAGACAAGACTAGAGAATGGTGAGAAAATGTCTCCTTGCTGGGAGACCAACATCATGCCTAAGCCCTGGATTTTGACAAGATGCCTTTGGGGGTGTGGGGTGGTGATCTGAGCACTTGTTCGAGATGTGGGAGACCTAACTCAGTCTCACTGAGAACAATTCCATGGGCTCCATCCACTCTTCAGGATTTCCTGAACTCTGGGCCAGCCACAGGGACATGGAAGCACAGTTTCTGCTCTGCAGGAGTTTCTAGTCCACAGGGACAGGAGACATGCTCAGGAAACACCTGGACACAGATCCTAGGCAATGTGAGCTTCAGCTTCAAGGGGGAGCACCAGCTGGGTGTGCAGGGGTAGATGATGAACTTAGGTGGGAGCCATAACTTGGTAGGAGGTGGCTCTGAGTGACTTCTAAGGTGTCCCCAGACTCTGTAAATCCTTGACTTTAGGAGGAGAATCTTTGAAAGACATGAAGGAAAGAAGAGGGCTTTCCAGGTATTGGGGGCTGGGTGGTGGTGGCCAGTGGCCGAGGTGCACTTGGGATGCCTGAGGACCTGAGGGATTGACTGGGCTGATAGCAGATCAGGTGGAGGAAGCAGGTGCTGCAGACCCCAAAGGACTGGCAGCTGAGTGGGGATGCCCTGGCTTGACGCAGTAGGCCAGGGAAGTTCAGAAAGGATGTGGTGTGACTGAGGTTTCAGAAAGGCTAGCCCAGCGGTTCCTGAGGTTCTACCAGCTGAGGAAAGGGTCCTTGGAGATCCACACTGGCAAGTCTGGTAGATCTCACAAGACTTATGGGATATCCCATGCAATCATCCAATATTCATAACATGTGGCAAGATTCCTAAGGATCCTATAAACTTCTTTTGCCTGTTCTTCCAAATCTAGGGATCCTCTTCCCACCCCAGGGAAGGCAATGTGTTCCTAGGGACTGCTGGGGAGTGTGGGAGTTGACTTGGTTTTGAGATACAATCAGGCAGGTACCTGCCTCTCTGGGCCAGGCCCCAAAAAACTTAAGCCCCCTTCCTTCTCCTCACCATAGGGCACAGGGAGGCTCCAGGACTCTGGCTGGGCAGTGGTTGGCTATGGCCAGAGTGGAAAATTCCCTACTGGCTAGAACATATCAGTGTTGGCAGGCCTGGTCCTGGCCTTCCACCTGAGGCCCAAGGACCTGACAAATCTGTTTGGAGCTCTGAGTGTGGGGTATGAGGTTGCAGAGAGGTTGTTGGCATGGGGGACTTTTTCCACTCACCCCGAAATGGAGAACTCTCCTGTGCCAGCTTAGTGGGTGCTGGGCCAGCTCCAGGTCACTTCAGGCAATGAAAACCTGGGAAGTAGAGGGACTTGGAGATAAGGGATGGAGGGACAGGATCAATCAGACTTCAGGGCAGAAAAAAAAGGGCAGACAACTTTAGGAAGAGAGTAATAGGGAATTCAGGCATTTTAGGAGAACTAGAGACAATGGGAGCTCTGGTAGCATAGTGGCTAAGACACTTGCCTGCTAACCAGACGGCTGGCGGTTCAAACCCACCAGCCACTCCTCGGAAGGAAGGTTGGGCAATCCTACTTCCGTAGTGATACTGCCTCGGAAACCCAAGGAGGGGTCGCTATGAGTCGGGGCCGACTAGACTAGACGGCACAACTAGACGGCACGTAACAACAACAACAACAGAGACAATGGAGGAGCTCTGGTAGCATAGTGCCTAAGGCACTTGACTGCTAACCAGAAGGCTGGTGATTCAAACCCACCAGCCACTCCTCAGAAGGAAGGTTGGGCAATCTACTTCCATAGTGATACTGTCTTGGCAACCCAAGGAGGGGTCGCTATGAGTCGGGGACAACTCAACGGCACATAACAACAACAGAGACAATGGAGGTCCCTGAGTGGCACCAGTGGTTTACACTTCACTGCTAACTTAAAGGTTGGCCATTCAAACCCACCCAATGACATCATGGAAGAAAGGTCTGGCAATCTGATTCTGTAAAGATTACAGCCAAGAAAACCCTAGAGCAATTCTACTCTGTAACACATGAGGTCATCATGAGTTGAAACTGACTTGACAGCAATGGGTTTGTTCTTTTTTTTTTTTTTTTTTTCCCAGAGACAATAGAATCCCTAGGTAATGCAAACAGTTAATCCTTAGTTGCTAACCAAAAGATTGGTGGTTTGAGTCCAGAGGCTCCTTGGAAGAAAGACCTGGTGATCTACTTCTGGAAATTGACCAATAAAAACTTTTTGGATCCGTACAGATTATTGCCTGATAGAGTGCTAGAGAAGCCCCAGGGTGGTGCAAATGGTAAACATGTTTGGCTGCTAACTGAAATATTGGAGGTTTGAGTCCACCCAGATGTACTTTGGAAAAAGGGTCTGCTGATCTACTTTTATAAAATCAGCCTTTGCCTCAGGACCACAGTTGCAGGGGACATCAGGTTCAACTGGCATAACATACTATGCAAAAACATTGTCCTACCTCCTACTTTGATGAGTAGTGACTGGGATCTTAAAAGCTTGCAAGCAGCCATCTAGATGCAACGATAGGTCTCTCCTCATCCAGAGCAAGAAGAATGAAGAAAACCAAAGATTCATGGAAACAATTAGTCCAAGTGACTGGTACACCATGAGATCCTCAGGCTATATGACTATGACACCAAAAGAAGTAGATGGTGACCAGCTACCACTGTCAACCACTCAGAGGGGGATTGATGTAGGAGATCCTGGATAGAGAGGGAGAACAATGTGGGACAAAACTCAAAATCATTTGAGGAAAAAGAAAAAAAGAGGGACCAGGTTTGCTGGTCTGATAGAACCTGGTGGATCCACTGAGATTATGGCCCCTAGCTGCCTTCAGTTCTGGGATTGTACCCACACCTGCGGCCTCCAGCCAAACAAAAGCATATGAGGTGAACACTTACACTAGGTAGATACAATCCTTAGAGAGATCAATCATGGGAGAATAGAAGGGCTATGTATGCACAGGGAAACAGCTCGGGGGCAGGAATACATGGAGAGAAGGACACAGGGAAGAGATAATTATGGGGAGGAAGTGGGAGGGGAGATGTTGCATTGTGGTAAATTGTAGTCAATGTCATGAGACAAAATGTATGTGAACTGCTGTATGGAAAGTGAATTTGCTCTGTAAACTTTCACCCAAATCACAATAGTAATAATAATAATTTGAAACTCTATGAAACATATTTCTACTCTGACACACACAGGGTCACCATGAGTTGGAGTTGAAACTATGGCATCTGGTAGAGATAATGGGGCAGGAGATGATGAGGCAGAAGGGAAAGACAATGAAGAACAGAAGCAAGAAGCAGGGATGTCCCATCTTCTCTTGTTCCTGCTCCAGGTTCCTTGTTCCAGTCTGGTATGAGAGTCATAACCAGAAATCAGTGCAGCTTACACTATGGGTATGTCCTGAACACTTGCTGAATGAAGAAATACTGACGATAATTTCTCTAACTGCCCCATTTGGCCTTGAAAGCCTCTGAAGCCACCCTAAATAGCTTTGACTTCAGCCATTGGCATCTCAGCCCCACCATCAGCATAAGCACTCCCAACACTGTCATCTTTGCCACCATCAACACCACCCTGAGCACCACCATCATAGTTACTGACCCCATCATTCCTCAGACACACCTAATACCATCTCTTATCAGTGGGTTTGGGGTGCCGGGAACCAGGACATGAGTCAGACCTCTGAATGCATCACCTAGGGACCAGAGGGTCTCAGTGATTTCCCCAGAGGACATCTGGTAATGCCTGGAGACATTTTTGGTTGCGGCTGGCATCTAGTGGGTAGAGGCCAAGGATGCTGTTAACCATTCTGTAGTGCACAGGACAACAAAGAATTATCAATTATCTGGCCTGAAATAGTGCTGAGGTTGAAAAATCCTGCCTATAGATCCTATGTCCCTCTCCTTGGTTCTAGCTTTCTTTGACCCTCATTCCAAAGATGGCTACATCACACCTCTAGTTCCTGCACAAAAAGTAATCCTTGCCATTCCATCTTAATGGCATCTTTGTTCTCTCTTATCACTTACACCTCATGGCCTCTACTATCTGGCATGAAAAAGTCAATAAGGTGAAAAGTATGTGGAAAAACATACAGGAACAATGGATACATGGAGTACAGGGTACATTGAGGTTGTGGTCATGCCTGCCCAGGGCAAGGAGGTGGGGACTGGGTGAGTCCCTGGGGTATAAAGGAAGAAGGACTGCTCAGGCTGTCACTCCAGTGCCATTGCAGGACTTGGAGTGGCTTTTCCTCTGTGTTGAGCTTGGAATCAGCATCATGAAGTGGATCGTGGTGGCCTTGGTCTGCTTCCAGGTCTTGGAGGCAGCAGTAATCAAGTAAGTCTGGGACCTGGCTGGTGCAAGGAGCCTGGGCCAGAGACCAAAGCCCTGTGAGGCAGCAGCTTGGCTAGGGGATGCCCCACTCATCTCTCCTCTGGAATTTCTGATAGGGGCATGGCAGAGTCCCCTTGCTGGTGTTGGATGGGACTCAGAGATGGGAGGAGACACAGGCCTTGCCCTGGGGAAACTTCCAGTCAAAAGGAGAGGCACAGCCCCTGCCCCCATCTGAAGAGAAAAGATGTATCCAAACTAAGAGATCCAAAGCCAAAGGGGTGACTACTGTCATGCCTGATTGATGGGTGTGGTTTCTTCCCACAGAAAAGAGCAATTATTTCGGGATATGAATATGCTTTCTGAAAATATCCTTAACTCTAACTCCCTAACAAGTTACTGTCAAGTTGATTCTGACTCATGGTCACCCCATATGGGTCAGAGTAGAACTGCTCCATAGAGTTTTCAATGGCTGATTCTTCACAAGTAGGCCTTCACCAGTCCTCTCTTCCTAGATGTCTCTTGTTGTTGTTGTTATGTGCCATCAAGTTGGACCCTACTCACAGCGACCACTCCTTGGATTTCTGAGGCAGTATCACTACGGAAGTAGGTTGTCCAACTTTCCTTCCAAGGAGTGGCTGGTGGGTTTGAACCACCAGCCTTCTGGTTAGCAGTCAAGTGCCTTAGGCACTACACTACCAGAGCTCCTTAGATTCCTCTAGGTAGGTTCAAACAACCAATCTTTTGGCTCATAGTCAAGAGTCCGTAAACATTTGCACCACCCAGACTAAAAAAAAAAAACAAACTCACTGCTGTCGAGTCAATTGCGATTCATAGTGACCCCTCCTTTGGTTTCCGAGGTGGTATCTCTATGGAAGTAGATTGCCCCATCTTCCTTCCAGAGACTCCTTAAAAAAAAAAAAATCCTTAAAAACCAAAACCAAATCCACTGCCATCAAGTCAATTCTGACTCATAGCGACCCTATGAGACAGAGTAGAACTGTCCAGTAGGGTTTCCAAAGCTGTAAATCTTTAGAGAAGCAGACTACCTCATCTTTCTCCCATAGAGTGGCTGATGGGTTCCAATGGCCCAGGTTTTTGGTTAGCAGCCAAATGCTTTAACCACAGCCCCACCAGAATGCCTTAAAAAAAAAAAAAAAAAAAAAAAAAGTCCTTAGAGGCCAAAAATTTAATTGGCCACTCTGGCAGATCTTCTAAGCGTCTAAGCAGAAACACCAGTTAATGTAAATTTCTGTATGCTGAGGTGTCAAAAGAAAGGAAGTGAGGCCACCAACTCTGGTGGAGTAAGTGGCCTGGCTCATAGGGCATCAGGAAGGCTCCTAGCTGGCCGTGCTACCTGTTATTCCACCATAAAAGAGAAATTTCTTAGGCTAAGACAAATCTCCCCTCAGAAACTTCTTTCAATGTGCAAATTCTGTAGTGGTAGTTAGCATTGAGCTATTATCAGTGTTCACTTCTCATGGTGAATGGGTTTAGTGAGAATTTCTGGAGGACTCCAGATACTGAGGTAATGGGGATTTAGATGGAGAATAAGTGAAAGGAGCCGAAAATTTGAGGCCTGGAGGGTGGGACCAGAAAGGCAACAGTCAGGTCTGAGGGGAGGGGAGGGGTGGCTATGCACACAGTGATATGGGCAGAAACCCATACTTCCTAAGTCCCAACTCTAGAGCTGATCTGGGCTCAAGACCACCCAGGTCAGCTTCCCCATGGAAGTGCACTGGTCAGCCCCAGGCTGTACAATTAATGGCAGAGGCAGAACTGGTACTATGTCCCTGAGATCCCGTATAGTGCTGGTTTCCCATACTCTACTCTGTCACATCCAGCCAGGTGCCCACAATAAGAGGAGACTCCCTTTGAGGTGAAAGCTGCCATCTCTGGAAACCTTTCAGAAAATGCACATACTTGAGAAGGACAATGCCTCTCTCCTGCCTAGAGAGGCTTGTATGGGATATTTGAGATCAGAGACCCAGGTGCTGGGAGGCCTCTGGAGCTAGGTGCTAGGTGGGGGGATGTATAGGTAGAGATAATTGTGTTCTGAATCATAGAGCAATCCCTTAGAAAGGGTTTGAAAGAGAAGGAGTAGGAGAGGGGGAAAAGGAGAGAGGCAGAGGAGAAGAGACAAAGACATAAAGACAGAGAAACAGACTAAGACAAGGAGAGAAACAAAGAGAGAGACACACAGACACACACGCGACAGACACCAGGAGACAGAGTGGCAGAGAGGCTGAGGAACATAGTTAGAGATAGAGAGACAGAGATAAGACTGGGGCTCTTAGAAGCACTGTAGGAAAGAGAATGGGCCCTGCCTGACACTCAGCCCCTCTGCAGAGTTCCCCTGAAGAAAATGAAGTCCATCCGTGATATCATGAAGGAGAAAGGCTTACTGGAGACCTTTCTGAAGACCCACAAGTATGACCCTGCCCAGAAGTACCACTTCAGTGATTTCAGTGTGGCCTATGAGCCCATGGCCTACATGGATGTAAGTGCTAATCCTCTCCCTGTTTGCAAAGTCTAGAAGCCAGCTCCTGGCAGTGGGTGGCACCCCTCCTTGATGCCCCTCACTATCCTTGTGGCCTGTTATGTTTCTCAGACCTGCTAGCCTGGACTTCATTGCCTGTGGGTTACTGTTAAGGCAGAGAGTGGGGAGGGGCCCATGCTGACCCATCAGCCAAGGCCACAGAGACCTTTGCAGCTGCCCTGCGCAGGCAGAGACTGAAGGGCTGGTGTGGAGACTCAGGCCCTGCTTCTCGTGTGGGCTGTAGGATAGCGGGTGGTCCCTTTTCTGTTGTGCCCATGGAACAGTCTGAGCTCAATGTTCCCCTGGATCCTTCCAGAGCTAACAGCATACTTATGCTCTCCCCTGTCCAGGCTTCCTACTTTGGAGAAATCAGCATTGGGACTCCACCCCAGAACTTCCTAGTCCTCTTTGACACTGGCTCCTCCAACCTGTGGGTGCCCTCTGTCTACTGCCAGAGCCAGGCCTGCAGTGAGTGCTGGGCTGGACAGGGAGGGGTAACAGGTGGGGCAGGAGACTGACCTCATGAGGCTGGGACCTCATGAGGGATTCCTGAGGGCATCATCAGCCCTGGAGAAAGCCGAGGATGTATCCAAGATCACATGGTATGCCTGAGGCAGAGGGGAAGAGGTTCTGCCTTGTAGCTGGTGGCCCCTTTGCCTTCCCTGCTCACCAATATGTATCCTTAATTTACTCCACTCCATCCAACCCATTTTATTCCCTTCAACTCCATTCTGTTCACTCTGGGCAAGAGTATTCCATCCCATGTGAATAATTTCCACTCCATTCCATCTCACTCAATCCTAGAACATTCTACTCCACACCACTCCACTATTTACTAAGTTCTCATTGAGTGTCTCAAGGGATATTAGAGGAAAATAGGATGTGGTTCCCGTTCTGCAGTCATATTGGAAGACAGGTGATGTTCACTTCCTTAAGATTGCATTGTTGGTGGTGTTGTTGTTATGTGCCATCGAGTCGGCCGACTCATAGCAACCCCTCCTTGGGTTGCCGGGGCAGTATCACTACAGAAGTAGATTGCCCAACCTTCCTCCCGAGGAGTGGCTGGTGGATTGCATTGGTCCCTTCTAAATGCTTGGAATTTCGGTCCCAGTGCCTCCGGTCCAATGGGTTTCTTGTTGATCCCACCTGATGCTATCTCAGGATCCTAGTATGACCAGCTGAGGAGACCAAACAAAAACCAAATTCACTGCTGTTGAGTTGGAGCCTACTCATAGTGACCCCTCCTTGGGTTTCCGAGGCAGTATCACTACAGAAGCAAATTGCCCAACCTTCCTTCCGAGGAGTGGCTGTGGATGTGATCCACCAGCCTTGTGGTTAGCAATCAAATGCCTTAGGCAGTATGCCACCAGGAGGGAAATGCTGGGATGGTCCAGAGGTTCATTCATTCCTTTATCTGACGAGTAATTATTTGTCAGGCCCCCTGCTGGGGGTCAGGGATATGAAGATAGAGTCTCTGTAATTCTGCCCACAGGGAGGTCAAAGCCCTGGGAAGCCCAAGATGCTATAAGTAAGAGTGAATGGGCTTTGAGGTCAAGGCTGGCCAGCTCCCGTGGACCTTCCAATGCAGGGAGCCTCAGCTGGCTACCCCCTGACTTGCTGAGGCCCCAGGATGTGAGCATAGGCTGAGGGACAGAGCTGGGAAGCCCACTATTCACCAGCTTGACCTTCCTCTGTTGTCTTCCCTCCCCAACCCCTACAGCTGGCCACTCCCGATTCAACCCCAGCCAATCTTCCACGTACTCCACCAATGGGCAGACCTTCTCCTTGCAGTATGGCAGTGGTAGCCTCACCGGCTTCTTTGGCTATGATACTCTGACTGTGAGTGGACACTACCTCCCGCTCCCACCCCAGGATGTGGGGAATGTAGCCTGGGGCTCGGACTGGGTTCTAACCAGGATGTCTGAGTCTATTGAGATTTGCATGGAAACCTGAAAATTGACAGGAAAACTCAGGACAGGAAGTCAGTACAACAGACATTCATTTACTCACTGAACATTCATTAGGGCCATCCTGTGTCCTGCTGGGGATATCATGATGAATGAGACAGATTTGTCCTTATTCTTAGAGTTTAGAGCTGAGAGTTCAGAAAAGAAGATAGGAGGATGTCGATATTGCTTGGAAGAGAAGGTGGCTTTTGCAAGATTTGTCAGGAAGAAGAGAGGGGATGAAGAACGAAGGCTTGGCGGGGGGGGGGGGCCCTGTAGAGTCTGAGGAAGTGGGTGGAGTCAACTTTGTCGCCTCCCTTCCTCTCTGTCCCCTCCAGGTCCAGAGCATCCAGGTCCCCAACCAGGAGTTCGGCCTCAGTGAGACTGAGCCGGGTACCAACTTTGTCTATGCTCAGTTTGATGGCATCATGGGCATGGCCTACCCTGCCCTGGCTGTAGGTGGTGCCACCACAGCCCTGCAAGGCATGCTGCAGGAGAACGCCCTCAACAGCCCTGTCTTCAGCTTCTACCTCAGCAAGTAAGGAACCGCCCAGCCTGTCCCGAGTTCACAGCCCACACTCCCTGCCACCCTGGACAAAGGAAGCTTCACGCTTTGTGGTTTGAGGGCCTCCCAGTGCCTTCCCTTCTGAGCTCCGCCCTCACCCCACCCCCTAATTCTATCTCCAGTCTACTCCCACTTGGCCAGGACAGAATCTCTCCCCTTCTGGCTGCTGGTTTGTTTACCTCTTGCCCAGGGCCCCAGTTAGAACACATCCTTCTGTCCACATGTTTCTACCTATACACCTCTTTTGTATAGTAATCTATTGCTTCATCTCCTTTGATCTATTGTTCTAGCTAGGCCCTGGAGTCTTCTGGTCTAGGTCCACTGTTAACTCCTAACAAATTATCATCACCAGCAAACACAAGCAAACAAAGTCCTTTAGTGCCAATGGGCTCTGAGCCTGGCTGCCTGGAAGGGGTAGGCAGCTGAGGACTGATTTTCCTACTTTCCACTGATGTTATTGTAAGGTGCTGTGGAGTCATTTTTCAATTCATAGTTATCCCTTGTGACAGAGTAGAACTGTTCTTTAGGGTTTTCTCGGCTGCAACCTTTATAGGAACAGATCACCAGGTTGTTCTCCTGCAGTGCAGAGTCACTGGGTGGGTTTGAACCACCAACCTTTTGCTTTGCAGCCAAGTGCCTAAATGTGTGTTGCCAGGGCTCCTTTAGCATCTACTATCTGTGGCTTAATCACTTGAATTTGACTCTCCACAATATTACCTATTAATGTTGCTATTTACTCTGCTTTTTTTTTTTTTTTTTTCAACAAAGATTCTGAGTGTCCCAACCACAACCCACTGCTGTTGATTCTGACTCATAGGGACCTTTTGGGTAGAACTGCCCCATAGGGTTTCCAAGACTGTAAATCTTTATGGAAGCAGACTGCCTCATCTTTCTCTTGTGGAGTGACTGGTGGGTTTGAACCACCAGTCTTTTGGTTAGCAGCCAAATACATTAACCACTATGCCACCACTCCTTCCAACTCTGAGTGTAGCCTTTAAAAACTCTGCCCAGTTCCACATTCAGATTCTCTTATCAGGGAAGACTTCTGAAAAGCCCACAGAATGTTCCTCTCTCTCCTCTACCAAGGCCCTATCTTCCTCCAGATCCTAGGAAAAAAGTAACAAGCTGGGCCCGGAGTGGAGCTCCCAGTGACATGTTCCACCAGTGGCATGAAGTGGGAGGCAGGGGACAGCTGAATGTGGGCAGGATGGGGAGGCCTGACAACCAGGGAGTCCTTCAGAGGCAGGACTCTGTGAGGCAGCATCATTTGGTACCTGAGGCACTAGGAATTTGAGGAGCCCAGACAGGGAGCTCCTTCCAAAGAAGAGACATAGCCCTGCCCTCAGTATCTCCAGTCTGAGGAGAAACACAGCCATGCCCTCAGAGAGCCCGAGTCTGAGGGGGAGATGCAGCTCTCCCTCAGAGAGCCCCAATCTGGAGTCAGGGACAGTTTCTGTGAGCAGACTCCAATTCATGGTGACCCCATGAGTATCAGAGTAGAACGGTGCTCCATAGGGTTTTCAATGACTGATTTTTCAGAAGTAGGTTTCCAGTTCTTTCTTCCAAAGCAGTTCTGAGTGATCTCAAACTTCTGACCTTTTGGTTAGCAGCACGTGCTTTAACTGTCTGCACCATTTAGGGACTCTGGAACCAGGGCAGGAGCTCTCTCTCACTCTGCGCAGTAGGGAAGTCCTTCTCCAGGGCTACTTGCTGACCCACTCTTCCTTTTGTCTCTTGCAGCCAACAAAGCTCTCAGAATGGAGGAGCAGTCATCTTTGGGGGTGTAGACAACAGTCTGTATACCGGCCAGATCTATTGGGCCCCTGTCACCCAGGAGCTCTACTGGCAGATTGGCATTGAGGAGTGAGTCTGTGGTGGGGTTCCTGGGGATGTGGGCATTTCCTTGGAGCAGGCTTTGAGGCACCCTGTGTCAAACACACATCCAGGCAATGCTGATGGGTGGGGAGCAGAGGACCCACCCCTACCCCAAAACCACACCTGCCCTTTGGTGAAGTGTCAAGACCCTGCTCAGACTAAAGAAGAGAGGTGGGATGGGGACAACATAAGGACAACTTGGAATCCTTCAGGACTATAGCCCCTGTAGTCCAACTCCATGGACTTTCAGACTGGAAATTAGTGCGTGCTGGGGGACTAATTTGTTCCAAGCGCTTATAGTGAATCAGTAGACCTGCTTTCAATGTTTTGAGAACTCTCCTTGGAACTTTTTAGAAAGAAGATCCCATGGCAATTCATGCAACCTTGGGTAGATTCTGGTGTGATGTGAGGCAGGGGAATGGTAGGATTGACCTTGCAGAGTACCTACCTTCTTGAGGTACACTGAGATTCTGTGATGGTAGCTATCTTTTCCTCAGCTGCCCTGAGCTGGTGGGGTGCTGAGGCCACTCCCCTCCTCACCATTCAGGTTCCTCATTGGTGGCCAGGCCTCTGGCTGGTGCTCCCAGGGTTGCCAGGCCATTGTGGACACAGGCACCTCTCTGCTCACCGTACCCCAGCAGTACCTGAGTGCCCTTGTGCAGGCCACAGGGGCCCAGCAGGACCAGTATGGACAGGTGGGTCTGATAGAGGTGTCCCCTTCCCCAGGAGAAAATGGAGTTTCTCCAGGGAGCATAGAAACAAATTAATTCTTGGGCTTCCACGCCTCTGGCTACCCCATGCACTGGAAATGTGGGCACCTGAGAAGACTGAGGTGGGGGAAGGGCTGGGAGCTGGAGACTGGTTCAGATGAGGTTTGTGCTAAGGGGACATGGAGTGGTTACTGAAACCAAACAAACCAAACCTGCTGCCTTTGACTCAATTCCAACTCATCGCAACTCTATAGGACAGAGTAGAATTCTCCAGTAGAGTTTCTAAGGCTGTCATGTTTAAGGAAACACACTGCCTCAGATTTCTCCTACAGAGCAGCTGGTGGGTTTGAACCCCTGACATTTTTCTTAGCAGCCTAATTCTCTAACCACTTTGCCACCAGAGCTCCTTGGGGAGGTTACTACTAGGCAACCATTTTTTCTGAGCTGCAGTTATTCAGAGGAAACAGATCAAATGCTTGCCAGGCTTTGGGATAAGAACAAAATGACTAAAAAGTGGGCATAGCAAGTGAGCAACAAGGGACACCTTTTCATTCCCCACCTCCCTCACTTCTATTGACCCCCCTGCCCCTCTTTCCTGTACCCAGCAAAAAGTTTCCCTAATTAACACATTTCCACTTAGTCTCTCCTAAAGACTACTCTCCCTAAAGATCTGTGTGTTTCAGAAGACACATGCAGAGAAAAAAACCTAAACCAAACCCACTACTATCAAATTGATTCCAACTCATAGCAACCCCCATTGGGTTTTCAAGGTGGTAAATAATCACAGAAGTAGATTGCCTCTTTTTCCTTCCACTACACCATCAAGGCTTCTTTGCAGAGAAAAAGCAGAGAGAGTTAATCTTTCATGGGGAAAATTCAGGCAAAAGCAATGTTTTCACAGTGGGAGGGATGTTCAGGTCTCCCTAGGTCCCTCTCACTGCCTGTGCATCCATGTGTGTAACGCCCACACTGTTTACACAGGACTTTCCCTTGTCAATGCACCTTCTTTTCCAAAGGCAAGTCTTGGGGATCAGCTCTGGGCTCAGTCCTGGGACCATAGTGGGGTACTCTCAGGTGGGAATTAGCTAACCTGACTCCCGTTCCTCTCTGCAGTATGCTGTGAGCTGTAATAGCATCCAGAGCCTGCCCACCTTCACCTTCATCATTAATGGAGTGCAGTTCCCTCTGCCACCCTCATCTTACGTCCTCAGCGTGAGTTGTGGTCTCTCCCTGCAGGCTGAACCAGCAGGAGTACAGTGGGGGTGGGAGGAAGGGGTGGGGAGCCAGAACTGCTTAGCTCCGCCCCCCACCTTGTGCGTTTTCCTCCTCCTTGTAGCATTGATTTATTTTCCCCACTAATTGATTCTAAACCCTCTTCTCTAGAATGAGGTTGTGAAAATGATGTGTTATCTGTTATTACTCACTGCCATCCAGTCAATTTCCACTCATAGTGATCCCCATAGGGTTTCCAAGGCTGTAAATCTTTACAGAAATAGATTGCCCCATCTTCTTCCTGCAGAGCAGCTGGTGGTTTTGAACTGCTAACCTTCTGGTTAGCAGCCAAATGCCTTACCCACTATGTCACCAGAGCTCCTTATGTTATTAATCATTAGTGGGGAGAGGCACTGGGCTCTATGAGCTAGCTATTGTGTGAAGCACTTTGCCAATGCTATCTCATTTGATGTTTAGAACATTCAATGAGGGAGATAGTTATTTCTATTTCACAAAGGAAAACGTGTAGATTCAGAGAGGTTTAAGTACCTGAGTCAAGGTTGCACAGCTAGTCAGGGTGAAATCATGTTGGTCTGCCTCTAAGGCTTAACCACCAGGCAGACCTGCTTTGGGAGGGGGGTCTGAGAGAGAAGGTTCCCATCACAGTGACAGGGGACCCTGCAGAAGACCACTGCAGCCTGCATTCACCCGTTCCAGAAATCCCTCCCAGCAGCCCCTGCTCTGGTGGCTCAGCTGATCTGTGAGCCCTGAAGGGTAAAGTCCCTGACTCACTCATCTCTGCATCTGTGTCCCTGACCTGGGGCTCTGGGCTGAGCAGTGCCCAGCCCTTGCAGGAATGAGTGAATGAGTTCTGTCTTTCTCTGTTGAGCAGAATAACGGCTACTGCACGTTGGGAGTCATGCCCACTTACCTGCCTTCCCAGAACGGCCAACCCCTGTGGATCCTTGGGGACGTCTTCCTCAGGTCCTACTACTCTGTCTACGACATGGGCAACAACAGGGTGGGCTTCGCCACTGCCGCCTAGATTCACTGTCTGGACTTTCTTCTTCCTCTTGGCCCCTCACCCTGTGGGGGTGGGGCTCTCTGTGCCTCTTCTCTGGATTCAGCCTTCCTTTTCTGGACTCTGGACTTTCTCTAACAATAAATAGTTCTTCTCCATGTTGGCTAACCTGTTGTTTTTGGAGGGGGGATTAAGGCTTGATCTCAGGGAATGGGGACTGTGAGGGGGCAGAGGCAGATTGGCCTCTGATGTACCACATCACATTTTCCCTGAGAGGCTGTGAGATTTCCTGGTGGGTCACTGAGACTCTAAGAGAAATGGGGCAAAAAGTAGAGCTAGCAATGGACGCACAGGGCTTGGAGTCTGTTCACAGCGTCTCTCTGAAGAGGGAGCACAGTGGTAGTGGTGTCAAAGCAGACCTTCTTTTGTGACGGGCAAAAGCACCCAATTGTGACAACCTGAAGTGCCCAGCTGACCTAATTTACCAAACTAACACCAGAACAAGGAGCCCTGGTGGTGGAACAATTAAGCGCTTGGCTCTAAAGGAAACGTGTGTGTTTAGAACCTGTTCAGTGACTCCGTGGGAAACAGGTCTGGTGGTGACAGCCTAGAAATGCTATGGGCCGTTCTACTCTGCATATGGGGTCACTATGAGTCAAAAATTGACTCGATGGTACCTAACACCACCACCAGAACTAACTCCTGTGACCTCAGGACACACATGCATGTCCACCAGCAGTGTGATTAGGAGTCTGACGCACCCCAACTTTAGGCCTGAGTTTCATTATCTGTTGATCAAGTTTAAACTAGTAGTAGTATTCTGAGGAGACTTTGGATGTCTCTGTGCACTTGTAACAGTCACATAGTCCTTTAGCAGGGAGGGTGATGCAGCCAGAATCTACTTCCAACAGGGCTTCAGAAGGGGGTGGGGCTGAGCAGAGCTGATAATATTTTCACTTAGACCCCTATGGCCCAGGGCCTGTCTTTGAAGGAGAGCTGGCCCCCAACCTTGGACAAGAGGGACAGCTACTTAAATCACATGAAAATCAAGCTTACTTGTTCAGAGTAACTCAGCAAGAGGTCTTATCTCTTTGGATAGAATCCCTGTCCTCCTTAGGGGCCTCCTAAGAAAAGACCCAAAAACCCAGTGTTGAGGAGGAGGAAGCAGAAGGAATGATAGTCCAGTCCTCTGTGACTTCTAGAAGAGGAAGGTGATACGAAAGACCAGAAAAATTCCAGCCATGTGGGAGTACCAGCAAGTTTAGGCAGATAAGGTTTTGGTGAAGAACCCACTAACCCATAGCAACCCTATACAACAGAGTGGGCTGCCCCGCAGGGTTTCCAAGGCTATAATCTTTACAGAAGTAGACTGCCACATCTTTTTCCAGCAGAGCTGCTGGTGGGTTCAAATCTGCAATCTTTTAGTAGCTTTTTCAGCAGCTGTGTACTTTAACCAGGGTTCCTTTCAGGTGGTGAGAATGTGTAAAGATTAAAATTGGGGGGCAGGGGACTCCATTCTAGAGCCACATTTCACTCTTTCCTTCACCAACTAAAGGAGCCCTTGTGGTGCAGTGCCTAAGGCATTTGACTGTTAACCAGAAGGTTGGTGGTTCAAACCCACCAGTTGCTTTGTGGAAGGAAGACAGGGCAATCTACTTCCTTAAAGATTTACTGCCACAGAAACCTAATGGGGTTGGAATCAACTTGATGGTAGCAGGTTTGGTTTTTTGGTTTTTCACCAACCAAGGAGCTCTGATGGTTAAGGTTCAGTGATTACAGCCTGGACTGCTAACTGAAACGTGGGCAGTTGGAACTCACCACAAGAGAAATCTGTGGCAGTCTGCTTCTGTAAAGATTTACAACCTTGGGAACACTATGAGGCAGTTTTACGCTGTCCTATAGGATCTTAAGGAGCTCTGGTAGTGTAGTGCTTAAGGCACTTGACTGCTAACCAGAAGGCTGGTGGTTCAAACCCACCAGCTACTCCTGGGAAGGAAGATGGGGCAATCTACTTCTGCAGTGATACTGCCTCGGAAACCTAAGGAGGGGTCACTATGAGTCAGATCTGACTCAATGGCACATAACAACATAACATAGGATCTTAACTCATGGCAATGGGTTTGGCTTGGTTTTGGGTTCACCACGCTTATCCAATCTTGGTCCTTCTGCTCAGGGACAGGGAGGAAACCCTAATTTCTAAGATCCTAGTTCTGCACCCCACTACAAACCAGGAGGGCAACTGGGGTTTGCAACACCATCTGAGGCTCCAACTTTTTTGGGACAGACAGGCCACAAAGTGTATCGTAGTGAGCTCTGGTTCGGGACATCACTCATTCACTGACAGGAGAAAGAACACTTGCGAAAGGGACAGAAACGAAGTGAAATGAAAGTTCCAAGTCAAATGCCAATGCGCTGCAGGATGAAGCCCCAGAAGCGGGACTACAAGTCCCGACGTGCCTAGCGGAGCAGCAGTGAGGACTACGCTTCCCAGCGGGCGCTGCGGCAGGCCCGTGGGGGGCGGGGCGGGGCGGAGCCGCGGGGGCGTGTGCTGCCCTCTGCCGGGCGCGGCGGGAAGTGGGCGCGGAGTGACAGCCGGAGCCTGAGCGCGGGGCTCGGTGACAGCGGAGGCGGCGGCCGCGGGCGGGACGCTGGGAGCGGCGGCGGCTGCTGCGGCGGGAAGGGCGGACGGGGCGGGCCAGCTGGGTGGCGCGGAGTCGGAGGAGCCCGAGAGCAGGCTGCGGGCACAGCTCGTGGGCCAGGCACCTGAACTTGGACAAGTTGCCGGAGCTGCGGGGCGCGAGCGGCGGACGGATTGACCTTCACAGCGAGGTGAGGGGGGCCGAGGAGCGCAGGGCGCGCGGAGGGCCAGGAATTCCCGCCTCACACTTCCCAGGTCCCATCCCGTGGGTCCTGGAGACAGGTGTGTGGGTGGGGGTGCCGGCTGAGGAAGGAAGCGGGACCCGGTGCTCTGCACCGCCACCCGCCCGCTGTCCGTTCCGCTTGGGACGCCCGGCGCGTGGCCTGAGCAGCGCTGCCCGCCGAGCCCGGGAGCCCCTCCAGCCCCTCCCTCCAGGCCTGGGCCGGGGGCGGCTTCTTCGCGACCTTATGTAACCAGCCGGGAGGGGCCGGGGCTGGCATGGGCCTTCCCCTCCCAGGACCTGGGAGTCGAAGGGGCGGGAGCCGTGGGAGTGAACTTGTAAGAAGTTTGAGAGACGCGTGGGCCCTGCGCCCCCCCCGCCACTGGACGCAGCCGGACCGGGTGATGCGGGGGAGGGGGTCGAGTCCGGCCCGGCCAGGCCCCGCCCGGATGGTCCGGAGGAGTGGGAGGGGCGCAGCCGCGCCACGCCCCGGAGGCTGGGCCCGAGCCGGTGGAAGTACCATTCCTCCTTCCCTTCCTCGCCCTTGCAGAAGCCGCCCCTGTTCCCGTCCGCTGGTGTCGTCTCGCTCCTTATTCCATGACCCTAAGGAACCCCAACTTTGGGGCGCACCCTCCGCTCATCCCTCTTTCTTTCCCCTGGAGCTCCCAGGCTCCCGCCCCCCTTTCGGTCCCGAATCCCGGAACACACATCTCCTTTCCCCTGTCCCCAGAGTCCGCACCGCCCAACCCTGGGCTGTCCTGGCCCCCAAATCAGTCTCACCCCCAGCCCCTCCTAGCCTAATACGCCGACCTGCCATCTGGCTGCAGCGAATGCGCCAGCGTCCTGGAAGGGAGCAGGCAGAATCCAGCCGGGCCCCGGCCCATCAGCCCTCTCCCGGTCTCGGGTTCCGGCTTCACGCTCGGCTGCCTCGAGCTGCTCCAGGCTGCGCGAGCAGGTTCGAGCCGCAGCCGCCTGGCGCGTCCAGGCCCGCGCCTGGGGGAGGAAGGGAGGGCGCCCGGGGCGGGGCTCCTTTGCGCGAGCGCCAGTTCGGCCCAGGGCTCACCCCAACTCCATTCCCCGCCAGCCTCTCACCCCGGCGCCCTTCCCCAACTCGTCAGCCCTCTTGATCAGTCGTCCTCTCGCCTGTCTGTTCTGGGGATGGTTCTGCGCCTCCAATTTCCTGACTAGAGCGTAGTGCTTTAGTTTATTAGAGTTTGCTAGGCTAAGTGTCAGTTCATTACCACGCCGTCGCCGACCCACGGACCGAGTGAGAGGGTGCTTAGTCGAGCTGGGAAGGGGGAAAGGCCGGTGCAGGCCCCTGTGGCAACTCTGGGATGTGGGCTCAGGCCTCTGTACTTGCCCCGCCGAGATTCCACCCACTCAAGACCTGACACTCTTAGGCAATTGGGGGCTGGAGGTTGGAGGCTGGTCTCTGGTTTCTTTTCAGGGTCTGGGGCTTCGAGGATGGCCAGCGTTCAGATCAGAGTTTCCCAGAGACCCTCGCTGTGTCAGCCTGGGAGGCACCCCCAGACCTTGCCCTTAGGGAGCTCACAGTCTGGTTAGGAGAGAGCTAGCAGTGGAGCTGCAGGCCAGCCATGAGAGGCAGGGGGAGGAGAGGGCTCGCTGCCCTGGGAGCCTTGTCTGGTAGCCAGCTGATATGATTTTCCCATGCCTCAATTTCTCCAACCCAGGCAAAACAGCAACTCACTTGGGCATTTTCTGGCTGCTGAGCCTGGGGAGAGTTTGGGAGGCAGAGGGCCTCCATGGATGAGGGTGAGGGTTGTTTCAGAGTGACTGATGCTCTACTTCTCCAAAGGGAAGCCAACATTGCTTACAGTTTACAAGCCTGGTACAGCTGCAGCACTATTTTGTACTGAGCTCAGCTCTTTAAGGTGGAGCCAAATGGAAACTCAAGTCTCCTGGTTTCTGGTCTATGGAAGGGACATGGGGGGTGGGGCAGGGGACATCCCTCCAGGTGAGCACTGACTCCTGGGAGAGCCAGCCAGGCTTCTGAGGGCTGATGGCTGGATAATTCCCAGTCATCAGTGGGCAGGAGGCGTGCCCAAGTAGGCAGGAGCCCATCTAGGGGCCTGGGTAGGTGGAGTGGGGATACCCAGTGCCCACTGCTAGTCAAGCCTCCCTCTTGGCCTGTTTCTGGGAAGCTGG